CCTTCTCCTCCATTCTCCTCTCGGGATCTTGGGCACGCACGCACACGCGCCCGGCGTGAGTTTTAAGCCACCGGGTCCAGGACGTGAACTGCAGTCGACTACATGGGAGTCCAACGACACAGCCATTACACTAACTGCTGGTTCCCTAAATTATTTAATTTTATTGATTTTTTTTTTTTTTTAATTTGCTATAGGGCACTTACACTCACCAGAGAGAGACAAAGACAGAGACAGACAGTAAGCTGCCAGGTCCAGGACTCAAACTATGGTCCGCCATGTGAGAGTCCACACTTTAACCACCTAAAGACCCCAGTACTATTGTATTTTAATTGTTTAAAATTTCATCTATTCCCTTCTTCCATGAGAGAGAAATAAGCACCCCTCCTGATAAAGCATTCCACCTCTAGTTTCAATGAGCCTCCATCCAGAGACCATGCTCAGGACAGTCCCAGTCCAAACCCAAGTCCTTCCCATGTGGCTCACTTGAGCCACCAGTGTGCCACACCCTGGCCTCATTGAATGCCTTGCCATACACCATTAAAACAGAGGACTTAGTATACACTACCTACCTCATTTTCCTTTTTTTTTTTTTTTTTGAGAGAGAGAGATTTTTGCTATAGGGCACATGTGCTCACCGGAGGGGCAGAATACGAGAAATCACCCCATAGGGGGATGGCCACATTTCTATCCCTTCTCCTCCATTCTTATTTTGGGATTTTGGGCACATACACACACATGCTTGGCGTGAGTTTTAAGCCTCTGGGTCGGAGACTCGTACCCTGGTCGACTACACGGGAGTCCAGCAATGTAACCATTACGCCATCTGCTGGTCCTCCTACCTAGCTTTTTTTAATACCTACATATTTTTGTCCAAGTTGAACATTTATAATTAAAATTATATCTTCCTGTATATATGTGTGTGTATGTATGTGTGTGTGTGTGTGTATATATATATACCAACAGTTAGGTATTTGTTCTTCATTTAGAGAATTTCTTACGAAATTCTATAATGATTATTTAAAATATTCTGGATTAGAAAGTGAAGTCATCTCCAGAGCCTTCATGTTCTCTGCCATATGGAGTATCCCTCACCCCATATTTATATAATAATGATTAAATAAATTTCAAATAAATGTCTCACTATTGATGACAGTTATCCTTTTAAAGCTTTGCTTTTAAGTATGGGTAAACATTATTTGATGGGACATATTTAATTTATATTTAAATGAATTCTAAAATGGGTAATTCTGATGTGCAGTTAATGTAGTGTGTTAATAAATTTATAGAACCTGTATCTTTGAAACTAACCATACTCAAAGGACTAGTTTAACTTTACTCGTTAATGTGTTTTTTCCCCTTATTTTTAAGGAGTTTAATTTGAAAAGCCTATTACATATATTTGCCCATCTAAATCATTTGAAGAAATGATCATAAAAGTCTTTTTTTTTTTTTTTTTGGAGAGATTTTCACTGTAGGGCGCGTGCGCTCGCCAGACAGACAGAGAGAGACATAGAAACAGAAAGCGAGAAATCACCCCCCAGGGGGGATGGTCACGCCGCAATCCCTTCTCCTCCATTCTCCTCTCGGGATCTTGGGCACGCACGCACACGCGCCCGGCGTGAGTTTTAAGCCACCGGGTCCGGGACACAAACCGTGGTCGACTACGTGGGAGTCCAGCGACATAGCCATTACGCTAACTGCTGGTTCCCATAAAAGTCTTTAGAGTCTACATTTGAATAAAGCTATTTTTTTTCTTTCAAGGCAGAGACAGAGACAGATTCTCCCCTGGCAGGGTCTTGTCACTCCTCAGTCTCCTTTCCCTATCCCTCTAGCTAGTCAGGCTCTTAGGCCAGGGTGCACCTCACATGCTTCTGGCTGACTCAGGATCTGAACCTGTGACAGCCATGTGACTTCCAGCACAATAGACCAGAAAGCTACCACCTATGCCAAAGTGTCTCAGCCTAAATGAAACACTTTTAAAAGCTTGTCCTGTCAAACCAAACTGTTGCTTTCATCCACTCATTTATTTCAAATTAAATAAATGACAAATTTTACCACTTTTGTCAAATTCTTCATCTTTTAAGGCATAGGTTGTCAAACCATAATCCATGGACCCATGCAGGACCCCAAGACCCTTTCAGTGAGTCCAGCAGGCCCAAACTGTTTTTATAATATTAAATAATATTTGCTTTTTTCACTATGTTGATATTTACAATGGTGGTAAAAAAGTAATGGTTGATAAAACTGTCTTAGCATGAATCAAGGCAATGATGTCAAAGTACATTAGCAGTCGTCGTGGTTTTTGACACGGTGTACTTACTAAAGCCAGTTTCACTTAGAATAGCCTTTATGGTACAGTAATATTATTTTAATACCTATCTTTTAAATATTCTGATAACAAAATGGGGAGTATACATAAAGCAATTTCCTATACTATAACAGATTTTTTTTTTTTTTGGAGAGGTTTTTGCTATAGGGCACGTGCACTCGCCAGACAGACAGAGAGACAGCGAGAAATCACCCCCCAGGGAGGATGGCCACACCTCAATCTCTTCTCCTCCATTCTCTCGGGATCTTGGGCACACATGCACACGTGCCCAGCATGAGTTTTAAGCTACCGGGTCCAGGACTCAAACCATGGTCAACTACATGGGAGTCCAGTGACATAGCCATTACGCTAACTGCTGGCCCCACCCTATAACAGATGTTTTAAGGAAAGTTTTTATTTGATTGTCTAAGTTGCAAGCTAAAAGAGACTTTTTTTATGGGAGGCCATTTTTATTTGAAAGAATTACTGACAGACTATCAAGTCATGTTACAAAATTACAGGTAGGTAAAAGATCTACTCAAAGAGCAAGATAGACCAATAGATTTTAGTTAACAGAGTTTCAGTTACTTGTCAGTAATAGGGTTTCAGATTCTATGTCTATATTGTAATTGACCATTAAGATCTTACCACTCTTAGTTGTCAGCAGGTAGCATGGAGATTTTAGCAGCTGGATCCTGCATGGCCCACTGTGTCTTTGAATCCCTGATCAGCAGCTTGAAAAACACACCAGGAGCATATGCATGCGTTCCCAAAGTCCCAAGAGAAAATGGAGGAGAAAGGACTGTGGCATGGCCATCCCCCCAGAGGGTGCTTTCTCACTTTCCCTCTCTTTCTGTCCGTCTCTGTCTCCAGCCAGCTCACACACCCTATAGCAAAAATTAAAAGGGGGAGGAGGAACTACCATTTGTCTGATTTGATATAATATTTAAAAAAATACATATAAAAAAATTAAATACAGGTTAAGTATCTACCCTTATCGAAAGTACTTGAGACCAGAAGTATTTCAGATTTTTTTGGAATTTGGGAAATTTGCATATACATAATTACATAACTTGGATATGGGACCTAAGTCTAGCAAATTTTATTTGTATCTAATAACACTTTTATTTTAATAGAGAGATTTTTGCTATTGGACTTGTGCGCTCACAAGAGAGACAGAGACAGAAGGCAAGAAATCACCCCCCATGGGGGATGGCCACGCCACAATCCTTTTTCCATTCTTCTGGGATCTTGGGCACACACGCACATACACTTAACATAAGTTTTAAGCCACCGGATCTGGGACTTGAACCACAGTTGACTATATGTGAGTCCAGTGACATAACCATTATGCCATCTGTTGTTCCCATAATATATACTTTATACACTTAGCCTGAAGTTCATTTTATACAATGTTTTCGTGTGCAGAATTTTTTGGTTTGGTTTAGCATTTTTGGTCCAGGACATGTGCTAGAGAGAGACAGAGAAAGGGGAAATAAGAAATAAGAAATAACCCCACCCCTCAGGGTGGGGTGGGGGAGTGACCACACATCAGTCCCATTGCCTCCATTCTCCTTTCAAGATTTTTGACACACACACACCCTTCCTGTTTTCTGAACCATTTGGTCCGGGACTCAAACCATGTAACATCAGCCATATAAAGTACAGCAGCCTTAAGCACCATACCACCTGCTGGCCATGTGGCAGGATTTTGTCTACAACCTGTGAGGTCAGATGCTCAGGTGCGGAAGTTGTTTTGTTGTTTGTGTGTTTTTAGTTGCCCGCCAAAGGAAGCAGGAAAGCACTACTGGTGGGGCTCAGTCACATTCTCCTCCACTTCTTTCTTTCAGGATTTTGGCCATGCATGCGTACATGCCTGGCATATTTTTCATGTTTCTGAGGCAAGACATAAACTGCAACCAGCTATGCGGAATCTACCTCCCTTAACCAAAAGGTTACAAGGCTGGTCCAGGTGTGGAATTTTCATGTTGGTACTAAAAAAGTTACAGATTTGAGGGGCCACATGGTGGCACAATGGTAACACAACACTGCAGTGCTGACCCATGTGGGAAAGTTTCAAGACCTCTCTAAACATACTAAGTGCATGTGTGCCCATGATCTAGGGCTGGCTGAATGTTGGGATGGATCACGGTGTGGGGACTGTTGGGGGATGCCTCTCTATCTCTCCATCCTGAGGAAATAAAGTTTTTAAGAAGTTATAGATTTTGTAGCATTTGAATTTAGGGTGCTCAACCTTTAGATAAAATAAATTGTTAAAATATATACCTCCTTTTTCTTATTACACATCTAAATGAGCCCAAGTTTTCTTCATACACTTCACCCAAAACAGTGTATCACAGCAGATCACGTGCAGAAGCAGAAAGGAGAAGCCACTATCAGGATTAATATTAAAGAGTTTAGCAAAAATGTAAAACATCAACACCCTTTTTATTAAATTTCTTATTTCTAGTAAAAAAGCCTGGTATATGTCATCAATTGTTACTTTTAAGTGAACTCGTTTTTATTGATTCCTGTTTTCACTTCTAATATGCTAAATATTTGTAGACATAACCAGTGTAAACCAGTGATTCTCAACCAGGGGTGATTTTGCCCTTCACGGGACATTTGGCAATTTCTGGAGATATTTTAGTGTCAACATCAGGAGAGTGCTCACTAATAAGCCAAGGCCAGAGATGTTGCTAAACATTCTAAAATGCACAGGTCAGACCCTCTCAGTAAAACATTATCTGGCCTGTAACATCAGCAGTGTTGAGGTTGAGAAATGCTGATGTAAGCAATAGTGTATTGCATCCTCAGTCATTTTTTTAAAGAATTATTTATTCAATTTTATTCATTTTAATTTGACCAGAGACAGACAGACAGAGAGAGAGAGAGAGAGAGCAGAGGGAAAGTGGGAAAGCAAGCCGCCAGATCCAGGACTCAAACCACAGTTGGCCATGTGGGAGTGTCCAGTGCCTTAACCACCACGCCAACTGCTGGTCCCCAAGTAATTTTTAAGAGTATAAATGTGTCCTGAGCCAAAATCATTTTAACACATCAAATACCTCTGCAAGTAATAGATTTGTTTATACTAGCAAATCCCACCTGAGAAATTTATTTCAGAACTAATTATCAGTAGTATCTGCTGTTCACAATATGTACATTTTTACAGCCTGTGTATCTGTATCCCTCGTCAGCCTCCTCTCCCAACATACACACCACATTTAACTCTTTATTTTCCCTGGTTCTGACCATTTTTTCTTTAATAATTATTTATTTTAATTATTTTGTTATTATTATTATTTTAATTTGACCAGAGCGAGAGAGACAGAAGGGGTCAGGGGAGAAGAGTGAGAAAAGAAGCCACCAGGTCCAGGACTTGAACTATGGTCGACCATGTGGGAGTCCAGCACCTTAACCACCACGCCACCTGCCAGCCCCAGTCCTGACTTTTTTTAAGTTTTAGTATTTATTTATATCTTATAAGCGCCTCAAATCCTTTATAAAGGGTAGGCAGGATATAAAAATTATTGTTAGGTATATTGCCCAACCTTAGAAACATACCTTGAAAAATTATTTTAGCATATAATTTAAGAAACATCTGAAGAGGTAATAAAGTTTTGCATTGAGTCAGACATACCTTGGATGTTTTCTCTATACTGGGCATTATGCTAGGCAGTGAAGATACAGTGACAAAAACCTGCATCTATGGTTTTGCAGAGCTTTGGTCACTCTTACAATAATAGAGAACCTTTTGACAGTTTGTACATGAGTTTATTAACATGTAGAACTTAATAGTTTGGGGTTTTTTTAAGAGATTTTTGCTATAGGGTGTGTGTGCTTGCCCGAGAGACAGAGACAGAAAGCAAGAAATCCTGAGAAGAGAATCCTGAGAAGATACTGGAGAAAAAGGAAATGTAATGTGGCCATCTCCAATGGGGGGTGATTTCTCACTTTCTGTCTCTCTGTCTCTGTCTCTCTGGCAAGTGCATGCTTCCTATAGAAAAAAATATCTCTGGGAAAAAAAAAGAATTAAAGGGAACTTACACTTTCAACATTGACTGTTTGATAGCATTAGAATTTTCATAATTAGAAAAAAAAAGAATTTAAGTAATTGAGGTGTTTGTAGACTTGCAAACTAAAACTGTTTTTCCTGGGACCAGCAGTTGGCATAATGGCTATGTCGCTGGGCTCCCATGTAGTCAACTGCAGTTCGAGTCCCGGACCCAGTGGCTTAAACTCATGCTGGGCACATGTGTGTGCATACCCAAGATCCCAAGAGGAGAATGGAGGAGAAGGGACAGCAGCGTGGCCAGCGCCCCGGGGGTGATTTCTCACTTCTGTCTCTCTGTCTGTCTGTCTTTCTGGCAATTGCACACACCCTATAGCAAAAACCTCTCTAGAAAAATAAATAAATAAATGTTTTTCCTTGGCTACTAACCTCTAAAGTAAATATGTAAAAGTAAATATAAATTGTAATTTTTTTATGGTCATTATATTGATTTCTATTTTTCCTCTTTTATTTCAGGCTTTTTTATTCATTATTCTTCCCTGGGCTAATTGTATGTGGAACTTTATGTGCATGCTTAGTCATCGTCCTTTGGGGAATCAGACTGCTGCTACAAAGGAAAAAAATGTCACTGTCAGCTAGCAAAAATGGGAAAAGTCAAATGGTGATTGCATTTTTTCATCCATACTGCAATGCTGGTGGCGGAGGAGAAAGAGTTTTATGGTGCGCCCTAAGGGCCCTACAGAAAAAGTAGGTATGCGTGTTTCTTAGCTAATTTGCTATACTGTTACCATTTCAAAAAAACATCACCCAGAAATTCATCTTTCTCTAATACTTTATTTATAGCCAGTGATTCCTTTTTTAACTGAATTTCAATAAAATATTTTTCTTTCACATACCCACCTGCTTAAAAGACCCTACTGAATTCTTTTATTTTAAGAATTATTTTATTGAACTTTATTTATTTACTTATTTATTTTTAACTTGACCAGAGAGGGACAGACGGACAGAGAAAGAGAGGAGAGAGAAAGTGAGAAAGCAGGTCACCGGGTCCAAGACTTGAAACTGCAGTTGGCCGTGTGGGAGTCTAGCGCTCTTAACCACCATGCCACCTGTCAGCCCCTTATTGCTGTGATAGATAAATGAACAAGGAAAGTATCTGCCCTTTTATAGCATCATTTAATAGAGATAACTATTCACTTGAGAGGTATATAGAGAAAAGATTAAATAATAAAGAATATACGAAGTATTGGGAGCTAAACCTAAGAACTTTTCATCATTGGGCACACAAGAATGATCTCTATTTGAGAAAGCATCTATTTGATTCTATTGGACATCGGAAAAGTCATGACATATTTTACTATGTTTTTCTATGCAAAAAATGTGTGATACTTTTCCAGTGACCCAATAGAAATCCTGAGGGCAAGGGTAAAGTTTCATGATAACTGTACATGTAATTCTTAGTGACCTCTATTATTCCTAAGGTACCTACAAGGAAAAAAAAAATCCAAATAATTACTATGGCATATGACACAGGATATTTTTTCATCTTTTTCTTGCCACAATTTATTTTCCATTCATCCCCAAACTCTCACATGTACTTTGCTCCAACACACTAACTGGGAAAAGCTCCCTGAACCTGAACACATCATGTTCTCTGTAGTTTCCTTACCCTTCCAAGCAGTGTTCTTTTTTTGCTCTTTTTTTGTTTTTTTTTTTTTTAAGAATTAATTTTTTTAATTTTATTTATTGTCATTATTTTATCTTATTTCTTAAAGTTGACTAGAGAGAGACAGAGAAAAAGGGAAAGTGAGAAAGCAAGCTACCAGGTCTGGGACTCAAACCACAGTCAGCCACATGGGAGTCCAGCCACTTTAATTACCATGCCACCTGCCAGCCAGTGTTCCTTATTTTCTAGTATAACCTTTTCTCCTCAGTATTGCTGTCTTTCCTGGGACTCAGCATACACTACAGTGCACTTTTCATTTGGTCTAGCAGTACTTATCGGAGACCTGCTATGTATCAGGGACTGTCGTAGGTGTTCAACAAGTTACATGGTAAATAAGGCAGATCAGGTCTTTCTCTCCTGGACCTTAGATTTTAGTTGAGAGAGACAAGATAATAAGCAAAGAAGAAAAATTATAATGCTATTTAAAACAGGATAGTGTAAGAGTGACTTAATACTTTAGATTGCATGATCAGGGAAAATCTCTGAGAAGATAATACTTAAATCTGAATGGTGAAAATCGCTGCATTCATGGAGTAATGCCAAGCATCGTTTTAAGCTCTTTACATGTTATCATCATTCAATCCTCATAACAGCCTTATGAGATTACAGTTATCCTCATTAGACAGAGGAGGAAACTGAGGCACTACAGTCAAACCACTTGCTAACCTGCCTGCCTTTTGAAAAGACAGTGAAGAATAAAAAATGAGAATTAAAAGTATAAGGAACAACCATTGCAAGCCCCCTGAGACTGGTTGGAGCTTGATAAGTTCAAAGAAAGGAATGCCAGTTTGGTTATACCCTGATGAGAAAAGAGATAAAAAGGAGCAGTTACAGAGGGAGGCAGGGCCCACATCAGTTTTGAATGAGCAGAGTAATGAGTTTAGATTATTCTAAGTGCTTGGAAAACCATATTGTTAGGTAGACCCCTGAACTGGCCTTTAGGAAATTTTCCATCAGAAAATAAGGCAATTACAACTGCCTTTGGCCAGATCCCTGATACTGAAAAACAAAACCATAAAAATATTTCAGCCTCCATCCACAGATGGACCATTAAATTCACAATGGCAAGTACCCTAATCAAACTGCCATCTATTCTCAAAACCCTACCCTCCACCCCACATCCATAAAGACATCACATCATCTTAGTATGGTGGGCTAAAGGTTTATCTAACTCAGACCCTGCCAGCTGCTGGCCTGAATAAAACTACCTTCTTGTGTGAAAGGTGGCTCCTTGAGTACTTTACTTGAACCTAATGTTGCTGGCTAAGATTCACTAGCCAAGGGACCAGCAGTTAGCATAATGACTGTGTTGCTGGAATCCCATGTAGTCAACCGTGGTTCGAGTTCTGGGCCCAGTGGCTTAAACTCACACCAGGCGCGTGTGTGTGCGTGCCCAAGATCCCGAGAGGAGAATGGAGGAGAAGGGATTGTGGTATGGCCATCTCCCCTGGGAGGTGATTTCTCACTTTCTGTCTCTCTCTCTCTCTGTCTGTCTTTCCTGGTGAGCATATGCGCCCTATAGCAAAAACCTCTCCAAAAAAAAAAATTCGTTAGCCAAGAGGCAAAGCAGAGATGGAGAAATGGAGTTCATTTAGCTGTGTTCAGTCACAGAAAGTGGCAGAGAACTAATAAGCCAGCAGCCAATTCTCAGAACAGAAATTTCTAGCATGTTATGTTCTGTTAAACTTATTTATGCATCGTTATCTACAATGTAAATTTAGCGTGTTTAGTGTTGCTCTTCCTCTCGTGATTTTCCCAAAGTTGCCTTGTACACCTTTTCCTTTTGCGTAACATTTATGACCCTGTTTCTGTTCTTAGGCAAGGTAGAGTCTGTTAACTTAGACTTGTGGTGTAAATTGATAGATTAAGAGAAGCTACAATGTATTTCTTTAAGCCATATTATGTAACAAAACAATATAAACATGTTGGTAAATGGAAACATTATTACAGTTAACCCAATTTAACCTGTTAAATTGTGTCCTTTGAGTAAACATTCCTCCCTGTTAAGATCTTTTGTCTAGGATTCCAGTCCCAGTTGCATTTTTGTGGCCTTTACCCGTAGCAAGTGACTTATGATTCCTCTTCTAAGCAAACAGGTTTATTTATGACCTTATTTGTTACATCATTACAGATTACATTCATTACAAAGCTATAAGAACCAGTTAACCTTTAAAATATAAGAATAAAGTAAAGCAAAAAACAGGGTTAAAAGTAGTTTTTTCTGGGAACCAGCAGTTAGCGTAATGGCTATGTCGCTGGATTCCCACGTAGTCAACCGCGGTTCGCATCCCGGACCCCGTGGCTTAAAACTCACGCCGGGCGTGTATGTGTACGTGCCCAAGATCCCAAGAGGAGAATGGAGGAGAAGGGATTGCGGCGTTACCATCCCCTCTGGGAGGTGATTTCTCGCTTTCTGTCTCTCTGTCTCTGTCTGTCTGTCTGGCGAGCGCACGCGCCCTATAGCGAAAACCTCTCAAAAAAAAAAATAGTTTTTTCCTGGGAACCAGCAGTTAGCATAATGGCTATGTCGCTGGACTCCCACGTAGTCGACTGCGGTTTGCGTTCCGGAACTGATGGCTTAAAACTCACGCCAGGCACATGTGCTTGCGTTCCCAAGATCCCAAGAGGAGAATGGAGGAGAAGGGATTGCGGCATGACCATCCCCCCTGGGGGATAATTTCTCGCTTTCTGTCTCACTTGCTATCTCTGTCTGTCTGGTGAGCACACACACCCTATAGCGAAAACCTCTCCAAAAAAAAAAAATTTGTTATTTCCTATTATACTAACACATATGAGGATTATAAGCAGAGATGATATTCTTATTATTTATTGCTATATAACAAATCACCCTCAAATTTAATGACTTAAAATAAAGTTTGGGAACCAGCACATGGTGTAATGGTTATGTCACTGGACTCCCACATAGTTGACCAAAGTTCGAGTCCCAGACCCAATGGCTTGAAACTCACTCTGGGTGCAGGGTGCATGCGCGTGTGTGCACAAAGTCCTGAGAGAAGAAAGAAGGGATTGTAGTGTGGTCATCCCCCTTGGGCAATTTCTCGCTTTCTTTCTCTCTGGCAAGTGCATGTGCTCTATAGCAAAAAGATCTCTAAAAAGTTTTATTTCTCATAGTTTGGGGGTTAACATGCCCAGTTTGGAATCCTTCATACTGTTATAGTCAGATGTCAGCTGGAGGCATCTGAAGGTTTCCTCACATATCTGGGTCCTTGGCTAAGATGTATGGAACGTTGGGGGCTGTGAGGCATCTCTGTCACCGTGCAGCCTCTCCATGTGACTAGCAGGAGCTTGCATACCACATGGCCACCTCGATACTTGGCCCCACACAGGACTACTGACTTTTCCCCTAGGGTGGGCACTCCAAGAGAAATGAAATAAGAGCCAACAGTCTTAGAGACTCAGGCCAGAAGCTGGCAGTGTCACTTTTGCCATATTCCATTGGTCAGAGCAGACCCAGAGCCCACTGTTATTTCAGGGGAAAGGATAGAGATCCTGCTCCTCAATGGGAAAAGCATCCAAAAAAATTCGTGGCTATCTTTAAGCCACCAGAGATAGCAACCGCTTTATATTTTAAAAGGATCATTGTGGCTTCTAAATAAAGAATAGTGAGGAGGGACGGAGGCTAGGGAGGAACAGTTAGGTGCTCATCTTTTAGGCTTTATAGCATCCTGTGCCTATTTTTATTAATACAAGCCACTCAATTTTGTAGTTATTTTTTAAGAATAATTTATTTTTAATTTAATTAATTTATTTATTTATTTATTTTTATTTTGAACACACACAGAGTGAAAAGGCAAGCCATCACCACCAGGTCTGGGACTCGAACTGTGGTTGGTCACGTGAGAGTGTCCAGCACCTTAACCACCACACCATCTGCTGGTCCCTTCTTATTTGTTTTTATGTCTTTTATCCACTGGACTGTGATTCTTGAAGATAAAGCCTCTCATCCATGTATCCCCAGAATCTTGCACCTCATATTAGATGCTTAAGAAATATTTTGAATTTATTATTTTTTGCTGTTTAACTATAACATTTAGTATTACCAAAAAAGCTTTATGCAGTGCTTCCATACTTTTCCAACTTTAATACATTATAACTGGAAGAATAATTAAAAATGTGGGCAGAGGGTGGCCAAAACAATTAAAGTCATAAATACATATTTCCACTATAATTTAATTATATGTACTTGTAACACAGGCATAAGAACTAGCTTTTGAAGCCTTTTGGTATTTCTCAGATAAAACCAGAATAACGCTTTAATATTAGGATCCTATGTAAAGACACCTCTAGTGAATTTTAATTTTTGTTTATGCATATTTTATTAATATTTCATCATAGTTTTTATACTGAAAAAGTTGTCAAAATTTTTTAGTATTCCTTAAAAAGAAAATATCTCAATCATAAATCAACAGTTTTTACTGATGTCTTCCCTGTCTGAAACTCTTCGTGGAAGAAATAGCAAAGAACTAGAGCCAGCAGATAGCATAGCAGTTACGTTGCTGGTCTCTCACATGGCCGATCGCAGTCCCAAACCTAGTGGGTTGAAAATCGCGCTGACCCCATAGTCATGCACGCCCAAGATTCCAGGAAGAGAATGGAGGAGAAGGGATTGCAGTGTAGCTATCCCCCTGGGGGTGAATTTCTCACTGTCTCTGCCCACCCCAGCACCCATGAGAACATTTGTCCTAAGCCAAAAACCTCTTAAGAAAAAGAAAAAAAATAGCAATGAACCAGAAGATACAGTATCAGATCAAGCTATATTAAAAAAAAAAAAAGAAAAAAACCTTAGAAAGAGTACTTCATAAACAACAGAAGTTTATTGCCCACAGTTATAAAGGCTGAGAAGTCCAAGAGAGATTTCTTCTTCAAGCTCCCTTGAGCCTCTTTTATAAAGACACTAATCCGGGGCCGGCAGGTGGCGTGGTGGTTGAGGGCTTTAGACTCCCACATGGCTAACTGCAGTTTGAGGCTGGACCTGGCAGCTTACTTCCTCGCTTTCCACCCCCCACCCCGCCCCAACTGCTATCGCTCTCACTCACTCTGTCCCTCTCTGGTCAAATGAAAATAAATAAAGCTAAATAAATTTTTTTTAAAAGATGCTAATCCAATTAATCTCATTAAGAGGCACCCCTCCCCCCACCTTTTTTTTTAGGTCTTTGCCATAGGGTGCATGGGCTCCCAGCAGAGAGTCAGAGAAAGGGAAAGTAAGAAATCACCCCTCAGGGCAGTGGCTACACAGCAATCCCTTCTCCTCCATTCTTCTCTTGGGATTTTGGGCACATATGCACACACACCTGGCATGATTTTCAAGCCACTGAGTCTGGGACTCAACCCACAGTCTCCTATGTGGGAATCGAGCACCTTAACCACCATGCTGCCTTCTGGCCAGAGACCTCTTAACACCATCACATTGGAAATCAAGTTTCAACAAACGAATTTGAGGAACACTGACATTCACGTGGAGGCATCCTCACATGATTGGTTAACATTTCAGTCAGAGGGCAATAGTGTCAGTAGTCAAAGAGCAGGACCAGCAGTTAGCTTAATGGCTATGTCTCTGGACTCCCATATAGTCAACCGCGATTTGAGTCCCAGACCCGGTGGCTTAAACTCATGCCGGGCACGTGTGCGTGTGTGCCCAAGATCCCGGGAAGAAAATGGAGGAGAAGGGATTGTCGCTGTGGCCATCCCCCCAGGGGTGATTTCTCGCTTTCTGTCTCTCTGTCTTTCTCCGTCTTTCTCGCGAGTGCACGCACCCTAGAGCAAAAACTTCTCCAAAAGAAAAAAAAAAAAATAGTCAAAGCGCTATGACTAAAAAATAGTAGGAATTATTTTTAGTATAAAAATAAGCTTTACAGGGAACCAGCAGTTAGCGTAATGACTATGTCTCTGGACTCCCACGTAGTCGACCACGGTTTGCGTCCCAAACCCAGTGACTTAAAACTCACGCCAGGCACGTGTGCGTGCGTGCCCAAGATCCTGAGAGGAGAATGGAGAAGAAGGGATTGCAGCGTGACCATCACCCCGGGGGGTGATTTCTCGCTTTCTGTCTCTATGTCTCTGTCTGACGAGCACATGCGCCCTATAGCGAAAAACCTCTCCAAAAAAAATAATTAATTAATTAAAAATATAAATAAATAAGCTTTACAGTTGTGAGAAAGTCATTATCTATAACTTTTTTCTTGATTTTAACTTAAACGACATTCTTAACCATTATATTCTATTCTAGGTATCCTGAAGCAGCTTATGTTGTTTATACTGGCGATGTTGATGTCAGTGGTCCACAGATACTAGAAGGTGCTTTCAGAAGATTTAACATCAAATTAACTCGCCCAGTGCAGTTTGTTTTCTTAAGGAAACGCTATCTTGTGGAAGATTCACTCTATCCTCACTTCACGCTGCTGGGTCAAAGTCTAGGATCCATTTTTCTTGGCTGGGAAGCTCTGATGCAGTGTGTTCCTGATGTTTACATCGACTCAATGGGATATGCTTTCACACTTCCTTTGTTTAAGTATGTCGGGGGTTGCCGAGTTGGAAGCTACGTTCATTATCCTACTATCAGCACTGACATGCTCTCTGTAGTGAAGAATCAGAATGCTGGATTTAATAATGCAGTTTTCATCACCAGAAATCCTTTTCTCAGCAAAGTAAAGCTCGTCTACTACTATTTATTTGCATTTATTTACGGCCTTGTTGGTTCTTGCAGTGATGTAGTCATGGTCAATTCTTCTTGGACACTGAACCATATCCTCTCACTCTGGAAGGTGGGGAATTGCACTCACATTGTCTATCCACCTTGTGATGTGCAAACATTTCTGGACATTCCTTTACGTGAGAAAAAAGTAACACCGGGACATACACTGGTTTCCATTGGTCAGTTCAGACCTGAAAAGAATCATCCTTTGCAGATCAGAGCCTTTGCTAAATTGCTGAAGGAGGTGACTGAGTCACCTCCTTCTCTTAAACTTGTCCTCATTGGAGGCTGTCGTAACAAAGATGATGAACTTCGGGTAGATCAACTGAGAAGGCTTTCTGAAGACTTAGGAGTTCAAGAAGATGTGGAATTTAAAATAAACATTCCATTTGATGAATTAAAAAATTATTTGTCTGAAGCAACAATTGGCCTGCACACCATGTGGAATGAGCATTTTGGGATTGGTGAGTTTGTCTTTTAAGCAACTCATTTGGTGTGATGAGATGTGCATCTTAGGTTCTTTTCATAAAAATGGTAATCTTTTGTTTTGTTTTTAATTTTTTTTTTTTCGGAGAGGTTTTTGCTATAGGGTGTGTGTGCTCACCAGAAAGGCAGAGAGAAACAGAGAGACAGAAAATGAGAAATCACTTCCCAGGGGGGATGACCATGCTGCAATCCCTTCTCCATTCTCCTCTCGGGATCTTGGGCACACATGCACTCGCTCCCGGCATGAGCTTATGCCACCAGGTCTAGGAATCTATTGACTGCATGGGAGTCCAGCAAAATAGCCATTACGCCAACTACTGGTCCCAAAGATGATAATATTCTTAAAGAATGCATCAAGTTCTGATCTCGTTGTAACCCTAATTCACCAAGTACATTTTTCTCATTTGAGATCCTGTAAGACAGTGGTTAATAATAACAGCTAATATTTATTGACCACTTACTTTGTATGGATCATTGTGTTAAGGTTCTTATGATTATTATCTAATCCTGTTTAAAGCCCTGTTTAGTGGGTATTATTATTATTCCTACTTATAAATATAATATATATAAATATGAAACTCAGGCAGAGGGGTTTAGAAGTTGTTCAAGTTCAATAAAATGGTACAGCCCAGATCCTAATCCAGATAACCCTTGGGATTTTTGTTTTGTTTTGTTTTTTTAAATAGGTTTTTGGGAGAGAGAGAGAAGGACAGAGACAATGAGAGGAATAGTAGTTTTAAATAGGTTTTTGGGAGAGAGAGAGAAGAACAGAGACAATGAAAGGAATAGTAGGAAATCACACACACACACACGGGGGTGGGCGGGGGGAGGTTGGCCACGCCACAATCCCTTCTCTTCCACTCTCTTCTCAGGATCTTGCCCAGCAGGCGTCTCAAGCTACCAGGTCCAGGATTCAAACCATGGCCTGCCATGTGGGAGTCCAGCGATGTTAACCACTATGCAGTCTGCTTGCCCCAGCCCTGCTCTTGATTGCTGCATTTTCTCTTCTCTGTGTAACCCCATCCATCAATACACGCTGGTACAGACTCCTGGGCCTTACCCTAATCTTTTTTTTAATCAGAATCTCTCAATGGGGTCCAGGTGGAAATATTATGATAAAATTGCTCAGGTGATTCTGTGGTGCATCAAAAGTTGGTAACCACTGTCTCCAGATGGGCTGCTCACAGTAATTCTTTTAGTCTTTATTGATTTTGCACTCCTTATTTGAATGACCTCAATTCTTTCTGTCAAATCCCATCGTAAGTGTTGTACTTAAATCTCCTTGCCCTTTAGCCTTTTTTGTTTGTTCTGTGTAGCACATACTGCTTTCTCTGTTCTGACCTCCTATGAAGCACACGTCCTGTATAAAATCAAGAACTGCTCTGTGTCTAATTTGGTTGACATATAGTTCTCGAATGCCTACTTTGTGACGCACACTGCTTGATATTTGGGAACAATAGGAAAACAAAATGACTTTTCCTATAGTAAGGCTACAATTTCTCCTGTGCTTTTTTTCTCTCCCCTGGCTAGGCCCACATTCAGCCAAAGTTTGATCTGAGCCTTCCTCGTGGGTTCTGATTTCCTGTTCTTCCTTCCACAGATACATACTGAGCATTCTCTGGGCTAGGCACTTGGGTGGGTGCCAAGAACACGACTGAGACAGGAGCCACTCTTCCCTTCAGAGGCTTCCAACTCTTGGGTGGTCCCAGCAGGCCACGCAGACGTGTGCCAGGCGGTGCGCCAAGTGCTATCCTAGAGAAGTGCAGGACGGGGAGAAAGCACCTCAGTGAAGAGCCTAGCGCAGCTTATGGAGGCAGGGAATAGGAAGTGATATGATACCTCAGCTGGGGCCTGAATGATAATTAGCCAGGCAAGAGGGGCGTATCCAGCAGAGGGAACAGCCCTGTGACAGGTGACAACAGGAGCATCAGCAGGCACATCCAAGTAACCAAGAGTTCAGAGTGGCAGTAGATAGTTTATATTAATCTGAAGTAGAGGAGAGGGACCTGATCTGGACATACAGATAGAGGAGTCGTCTTATCCAAGTAGCTGTCAGAGCTCCCCTGGATGAGGAAAAGATTGCCTGGGGAGAGTGTATAGAGCCAGAAGAGATTCTTAGGACAAAATGCTGAAAAGAGGAACAGTTAAGAAGAGGGCAGGGTCCAGAGGTAATGTGCTGACAAGAAAAACAAGATCCTGGGACCAGCAGATGGCATAATGGTTATATCACTGGACTCCTACATAGTTGACCATGGTTTGAGTCTCAGACCCGATGGCTTGAAACTCTCCAGGGCCACGTGCTTACCCAAATCCCGAGAGGAGAATGAAGGAGAAGGGATCACAGCGTGGCCATCCCCCCTGGGGGTGACTTCTCACTTCCTGTCTCTCTCTTGAGCAAGCACATGCACCCTGAAGAAAATAATCTCTCAAAAAAAAAAAAAAAACCCACATGGTAACCATGGTTTGAATCCCCAGCCTAGTCAGCCTGAAACACACTGGGCATGCATGCCCTCGCTCCACATGCATGCCCTCAAACCAGCCAGCTGGAGGACCAGAAGAAAGAGACTGTGACATGAGCAGGCCCTATGGAGAGTGCTTGACTCCTTTTTCTCGTTCCCACTTGTTTGTGTGTGTGCACACACTTGTCATAAGTAAAGAAAAAGGAAACTGTTAGAAATATAAAAATCAGAAAAATAACAATTGAAAAAGAGAGAGAAAAGTGAACGGGAGAAGAGGAGCCAGTGAAGGAGAAGAGAACAGGAAGATTTTAAGAATGAAGTAGCAGGGAACCAGCAGTTGGCGTAATAGCTATGTCTCTGGACTCCAACGTAGTCGACCACGGTTCGCGTCCCAGACCCCGTGGCTTAAAACTCACGCCAGGCGCGTGTGCCCAAGATCCTGAGAGGAGAATGGAGGAGAAGGAATTGCGGCATGACCATCCCCCCTGGGAGGGTGATTTCTCGCTGTCTCTCTGTCTCTCTCTGTCTGGCGAGTGCACATGCCCTATAGCGAAAAAAAACTCTCAAAAAAAAAAAAAAGAATGAAGTAGTAGCAGCCAACACATAGCATAGGGCTAAGGAAGGTAGGATCCCACATGGCTGCCCTGTTTGAATCCCTGTCCAGCTGCTTGAAAGTTTCCCTGGGCAGAGGAGAAAGGTATAGGGAAGGAAAATAGAGGAAAAAATAGAGGCATTTGTGGGACACAGTAATGGTTTATTACCTGTTGATGATAACATGTATTCTTAACTGGTCTGAGGTGTATTTCACTTTGGGTAAATTCTCTTTGTAAGTCAAATGATGTATAGCAATCGAATGTATAAACAATAATAATACAAAAATTTAAGGGGGAAAAATGAAAGTCTCCTTAGGCATATGTGGATATGTGCTCAAAATCCCAACAAGATGGAGAAATGGAGAAGGAATTGAAGCATGACCTTCCTCATTAAAGGCTGCTCTTTCACTGTCTTCATCTCTCTGTTTTCCCTGGTGAGCACGTGCCTTTTGGCAACTTAGGGGATAAACTTTAAAAAGCAGCATTATTGAAACTGAAAAGCTTAAAGCTATCTTATTGTGTACCATGGAAGTTAAATAAGCATATTTATAGACTTACAGACGTTTAATTAAATTTCTGAGTCACTTAACATTTTTGAAAGTTTCTAATCATTCTTATGAACACACTCAAAAATGTAAAAGACTGCATGATTTTTCTTCTTTCTCAGGAGTTGTGGAGTGTATGGCAGCTGGCACAATTATCCTTGCACACAATTCAGGGGGCCCGAAGCTTGACATCGTCATTCCTCATGAAGGAGATATAACGGGATTCCTGGCTGAGAGTGAAGAAGGCTATGCTGAGACCATGGCTCATATTCTTTCCATGTCTACAGAAAAGAGACTCCAAATCCGAAAAAATGCTCGTGCATCTGTAAGCAGATTCTCTGATCAAGAGTTTGAAGTGACATTCCTGTCATCTGTGGAGGAGTTATTTAAATAATGTTATATTTGTACAAATTAAAGATATTTCATATAAAATGGTTAAATACCTTCATATGTAAATATTTTTCTAAACTAATTCCCTATTAAAATAAAATCAGCCTAAGCAGTGTTCTGGGCATTATGTATATAGGCAAGGTATTTATTTCAATAAAAAATGGCAAAATTACCTAAATGGGAAAGGTAATCCTATATAGCTTAGGTGTAAACATTTTAGGTTAATCTTCTGAAATTCTGAAAATACAGATCTGAAGAAAAAAGTAACAATCTTGAATTTTGACAATCAATATTTTTTAAATAATTACTTATTTAATTTTTATTATTATTTTAATTTGACCAGAGAGATAGGGGAAAAAGTAAGCTGCCAGGTCCAGGACTCAAAACATGATCAGCCTTGTGGGAGTCCAGTGCCTTAACCACCATGCCACCTGCCAGCCCCATAATCCATTATATATTTAATTTTATTTGTCAAATCACTTTCCTTTAGAAAACAGGAAATAAATTTTCTCTCTCAGAAAAAAAGGAAAATTTCCCTTTAGAAAAACAGGAAATGTTGAAAGGAAAATGGATGACTGAAAATTGATTAGCATTTTAGAATTGCAACCTTTTTAGAACAGAGAAAAGTTCTAATTTTACATTAAATTTAAATTTACATTTAAATTCTAAACAGTATTGTAAGTGACCCTTTAGAATTCACCTAGTAATTTTCTTAAAAGAAAAGACATGGGACTAGCAGGTGGCGTGGTAGTTAAGGGCGCTCGACTCCCACATGGCCAGCCACAATCGGAGTGCCAGACCCGGCAACTTGCTTTCTCTCTCTCTCTCTCTCTCTCTCTCTCTCCCCACACACACACCCCGGTCAAATTTTAAATAAATAAAGTTAAATAATTCTTTAAAAGAAAAAAGAAAAGACACTTTAAGTACTTTAATCATGTTCCCAAATCATATAGTCAATGGGACAGGACAGACTGGTTGCTGCTTTAGGCGTGCATGCAGGTATATAGAGGCCAATATACTGCAAGCAGTCCTTCCAAATCTGGGTATTTGTAAAAACTGTTTCTGATACAGTGCTAACAGCTAATTATCCCTTGAAAGGTCCACATCTTAGAGGCTAGAAGTCTGCCTTAAGTCATTCAGGAGAACATTGAGATGAGTGCTTCTGTCAGTGATGATACAAAACCATTCACATGTTGTCTATTACCAGCATCACACATTGTAAGAGAGTAATTTGAACAGAGCACTGGACTAACAGTAGCAGGCCTCAGCATTCACAGATGTCTGACCTTTTGACACTGAAGCTGCTCTTTTATCTTACTGAGTCTCAAATTCTTCATCTGTACATCTAGAATTGGGAGATGTTACTATCTGTCCTCACTCCCTTTTAGGGTTGTGATAGTGACATGGAAGGTATGTGAAACTACTTTGAACATTATAAAATTTATTTTCATTAAACAGCAATATATAGTAAATGTCTTCTGTAATTCCACTTCTACCAATCTGTTAGAATTCTATGTAGATTCTTAGTTACTAAGCCAGTAGCTAAGAATCAGTATAAATTTAATACAACTATCCTGAAAAAGCTAGCATGGAAATGTGAATCTCTTATTTGCACAGATATGGCTATGAAGACCTATAACTTTTTATGTTTTCTGTATATATAATCGATTCCTTCTATCAATAGTTTACTGAATTCCCCCTCTTCAGTCTGGTTAATCTTTGTGTTGGGGCATATGAAAGAAGAATATTACTCCTTTGCCTTCCTGTCTCAACTAGTCACCCAGACATCCAGCTTCATCATGTGCTCTCAGTTACGTTTTTGATTCATCTGCAGGCCATCTTCTGCCATCAGATCAAAAGGCAGCAAAACAGAGAGTCCACATTGTTCTGACACACCAACATAGTTTTAGATTAGAGATTAATACAGAAAAAAAATTGGTGGAAATTAGGATAGAACCCTACAAATTCTCTAGTCCAGTTTTCTCTCATTTTCAACTTCACAGACAAGAACAACTTAATCTAAAAAATTTAGAAGACACTTTCAGTGTCACAGAGCTGTTTAATCAGGAGTATAACCTGGGAGTTCTTACTCTTAACCCAGTGTTTTGGGGAAGCTTTTTTAATATATTTTTTATTATTATTTATACATTCAATCGCTATATGTCATTTAGATTGTAGAGATTTTACCCAACATGATATACACCACAAACCAGACATGTTGAGAATACTATACACAACATCAACAGGCAACAAACCATATCTGTATCCCACAAATGTCTTCTCCATTTTTTTTCCCAAATTTCCCTTCCTGCACTCTTCCCCCTCCCACTCCCCTTTCACTTTGTCACCAGTGTCCATAACAGTTTTCAATGCTTTCATGTCATCCAGTCTTTCCGTCTCTACCATAGAGTGTGGACAGTCTGTATATATTAAGTGGAGATATACAATGTCTCTTTTTCATAGCCTGACTTGTTTCACTCAGCAATAAATCGTCCATGTTTGTTCACTTGTTCTGTCTCATGCCAGGGTCTTGTTTTTTATGGCTGAATTGTATTCCATGAAGTATATGTGCCACACTTTTTCAATCCATTCATCTGTTTGTGGACACTTGCCAACCCAGTGTTTATTTATTTTATGCTAGTCTGTGAGGTAAAAGTCATAGTATTGCCAACTCAGCCGAACATCTACACAAAGATAATTATGGGACTAAAGAGAACGAAATAGAAATGAATAGAGCAAAAGTAGAGATGCAGTGGAGGAAGAAAAGGTTCTAGAATTGCATTAAAAATTTTCTTTTTTAAATTTGTGTCAGAGGGTGTATGTGCTGGCCAGAGGAAGAAAGAGAGAGGGAAAGTGAGAAAGCACCCCCCCCATGGGGTATGGTCGAGAGGGAAAGTGAGAAAGCACTCCCCCCATGGGGTATGGTCACATCACAGTTCCTTCCCTGTTTTCCCCTCTTGTTAGGATTTTGGGCATACACACACCTGTCATGTTTTTCAAGCTGCTAGGTCCAGGACTTGAACTGTGCAGCCTGCAATGTTGGACCCAGCCACCTTCAACATGTCACTGGCTAGCCTCATAAGATTCTTTTTAAGCTTCTTTTGTTTCTTCGAAGTGATTTTCATGTATCACAAACAGTTAAAAAATATCATTTGTGGGCTGGTTCCGTGGGCTGGTTCCATGGCCTGGTGGATAGGGCAGCTAGTGTTCAACCAGGAGGTTGAGTCCTAGATCCAGAGGCTTGAGAAACACATAGGGTGTGTGTACATGAGGCTCAAAGTCCTGAAAGGGTGGACAGATGGAGGAGAAGGGATTGCTGCATGACCATTTCCCATGGAAGATGCTTTCCTCTCCCTTACTCTGGCAAGCACACATGCCTTCTGAATGAATGAATGACTTTCAGAATCTAAAAAAGGGGGGAGGGGCAGCCAGTGGGAGGGTAGTTAAAGCAAATGAATCCTAAATAGCCAACTACACAGAGTCCAGACCCTGTGGCCTGAGAAACCCTGGGCAAGTGTGCATGCATGCCCAAAATCCTGAAGGGAGGGAGAAATGGCAGAGAAGGAATTGTGGTGTGACCATTCTCTAAGAGGAGTGCTTTCTCACATTATCTCTATCTTTGTCTCTCTCAGATGAGCACACAATATATTATATATATATATATACACACATATAATCAATTTTCTTAAAGTGGTATCATATGTTTTTGGTTGTTATGGGTTTGGTTTTGTTTGCTGAATGACTGATAGCACAAAAAGGGTCAAAGCAGCATGTTACCTATTGTGTGGAGAACTTTTGGATACCTTAATCCTGTAAGACCTCACTTTGGAGTCGTCTAAACCTGCTGTGTTTGGAACTAACTGCAGTAGGAATCAACATTCTTATGTCCAGATGTGTATTATAATGAAAATGTTCCATAGTCTTTGTGTAATCATCAATATGTAAATTTGATTAAGTCTAATTATACAAAATCTATTTGTATCAAATAAGATTTAAAGAAATGATTTTTCATTATGTTGGATATTTTTCCCAGTATGGTTCCTTTTTGCACTTCATGTAGTCCTCTAATTTTACTAATATTTTCAAGCTCAACATGACAAGAAATTTTTAAAAAAGAAGAAAGAGAAATAAAAAATGTGTCTTGCCTGCAGTACCTAAGAATAATAAGTTGCCAAGTTTAATAGACATTTTTTGTGTGTTTCAGACATACAAAAACCACAGACCTTCATACACTTTATTTTAATAGCATTTCCGGTATTTTACAAGCAAAATTACGTAATAGTCAATGCTTTCAGATTATTTGGTTTAATTATGTGAATTTACCCTAAACACCAGGCTTCATTTCTGAAAAGAATACATAAATAAATGACAATGTGACTGCTAAATCTATCAATGAGTACAACAGAAGCTACTTCATAATATACAACTACAAGTTATGCTAGTTTCAAGAAGCAAATTATGCGCCTATGTTATCCTACCTCTTCTGGTGCTCTTCTGCTCATTCTTTTTCCTCTTTCCCCACCATAAGTGTAAGGCCACCCTTGGCTTTGGACAGGAATCAGTTTCTATAGTTTTGTGTTCATTTGGACTACATGTAAATGTTATAAGACACTGAGAAGGGAGTTTGAAGGGATGATACACATTTAGTGGTTCCATTTAAGGAATGACCAATTGTTTTTTAAGAGAAATTTCCTACAGGACGCTTGCGCTCACCCAAGAGACAGACAAAGCTAGAAATCGTTTCCCAGGAGGATGGCCACACCACAATCCCTTCTCCATTCTCCTTCAGGATTTTTGGGTGCATATGCACACAGGACCAGCATGAGTTTCAAGCCTCCAGGTCCAGGTCAGTCGTGTGGGAATCCAGCAACATAACCTTTACGCCATCTGCTGGTCCCAGGGTTTTTTTAATGCGCCATCTGCCTGGCTTTTTCTTTCTTTCTTTCTTTCTTTCTTTCTTTCTTTCTTTCTTTCTTTCTTTCTTTCTTTCTTTCTTTCTTTCTTTCTTTCTTTCTTTCTTTCTTTCTTTCTTTCTTTCTTTCTTTCTTTCTTTCTTTCTTTCTTTCTTTCTTTTAGGTTTTTCTTTTTTTTTTTTTTTTTTTTTTTTAGTTTTTTTTTGCCATAGGGTGCTTGCCAGAGAGAGAGACAGTGAGAGGGAAAGTTAGGAATCACCCCTGGGGGGGGGGGATGACCACACCACACTCTCTTCCATTCTCCTCCTGCGATTTTGGCCACACACACACACACACACACACACATGTCCAGTATGGGTCTGGGACTCAAACCTCACAGTCAGCCATGTGGGTCCAGCAGCCTTAACCTCCACACCAACTGCTGGCCCCCTCTTCCACTTTTAAGAACCTTTGTAATATTTCACAGGTCCACCTGGATAATCCAAGATAACTACCCTAATTTAAGATTATCTGAAGAACACACTTAATTCCAACTGCTACTTTAATTCCTCGTTGCCGTCTAACAACACATTCACAAATTCCAGGTTAGGAAGTGACTTTTTTTGGATGAAAGTGTTGAGCTGCATTATGCTGCCTACCACATACGTTATCTGAAATGTATCTCAATAGACATTTTAAAATGGAAATATTAATTTCTACACACAAAAGTTCTATTGTCTAAATTGCACAAAAAATGTAAAAGTCCTTGGAGTTACTAGTAAACCCTTGCAATAATGAGTATGATTATTCAAATACTAAGTTAATAGATACTAGCTTAATATTAATTAAAAAGTTCAACAATCACATTTGTCTATTTTAACTGGTTGTTGTTATTCCTTGATCTTCATCAGTAATACAGATTTGGTCATAAGATAAAGTGGAAATATTCTCCAAACTTTCACTTAATTCTTTGGATTTTAATGGTTTTATCCCCTCTCTTTCTACTAACTTTTCAGAATCCTTAGAAGGAACAGACACCTCTTTTCTTTCTTCTTCCTCAGTGGAAGTAGCAAGTTTTTCTAAGGAGCCTATTACTTCATCTCTCAACTCATCTTCAGATCCTTCAAAATTTCTGAAATGATAAGCAGTAAAAATCAATGTTATAAAAGCATAGAAGACTGCATATGAAGACTAGTTTTCCTTTTCTTTCCTCATCCCTATTTAAGCAATATGAAAGTTGCATTTTCACCCAGGTAATAAGTTAGTTATTATACTAGTTTGACTTTTCTGAGAGTGATAATCTACCGATATTGGGAGAACTAGTCTTCTGCTTAGTTAGACCTGTGTTCAACAACCTTTATTATGTTTACTAATATCCATATACTCTTATGATTATGAGGAGAAGAAAAGGGAAGGAAAAAAATAATAAAACAGTTGCTACATGTTAATCCCTTATTATACACTATTACTATCCTAAGGTACTTTACTTGTGTTGTATTTCATTTACTATTAACAACACTTTATGGGAGACATTATTGTGAATGCATAAATATTCATAACAGCTTTATTTATTATATAATAGCCAAACAACAACACAAATGCCCATCAACAGGTGAATCTATAAATGAATAGTGCTATGTCCAATATAATGGGATACTACTTAGCAGTATAAAAAGAATGAACTTGGGCCAGCTTGCAGCGTGATGGTTAAGGCAGCTGAATCACACGTGGGCAAATGTGCAGTTCAAGTCCCAGACCCAGTAGCTTGAGAACATGCCAAGCACATGTGCATGCCCAAAATCCAGAGAGAAGAAAGGCGTTTATCATGGCCATCCCCTCTGTGGTGGGGGTGGTGGTATTAATTTCTCGCTCTCTCTCTCTCTCTCTCTCTCTCTCTGGCAAGCGCACCCTAAAGTAAGAAACTTAAAAAAGAAAAAGAAAAGAAAGGAATGAACTATCAATACAAGCAACAACATGAATGAACCTCAAAGCTCTTGTCAAACAGGAAAGTTTCTAGGAAACTTAATGGTTTTGCCTTTCAGTAATCAAAGCAGTCTAAGACAGAGAAGCGCTACCACAAGAGAGAACTACAGGTCTGGCTTTTATCTCTTTTATTTCTTATCTAATAAAGTGAATCACCAGCAGGTGGCTTGGGGTTAAGGGCATTGGACTCCCACATGGTCAACCATGGTTCGAGTTCCAGACCTGGCAGCTTGCTTTCTTTACTTTCTCTCTCTTTCTCTCTCTCGCTCTCGCTCTGTCTCTCTCTGGTCAAATTAAAAGAAATAAAGTTAAATAAAATAATAATTTTTAAAAAGTGAATCTAGTAAGTATTGCAGAGATCTACAAGACTGTTCAAAGAAACATGCAGAATTATAGCCAGGTTGTACTAAAAGGGACAGTACAAAACTTAAAAAACGCATTGAATTCTCTCAGAAAGGAGCTTGGGAAAAGTCTCTAGCTCCTTTGCTACTTTCTTTCTTCCTTCTTTTGCTAGATAACTTAATGCTCATATTAAAAATAATAAGCAAAACTAGCTAGGAAATTTCTAAAAAATATTTAGAGGAAAAATCTTTCCATAATAAACTATATTATAAACGATATAATAAACATAAATAATATGTTGCTAATAGAACTAGACTATAAAGAATAGGAATTTAATAAAAATATATATAAAAATGAAAAATATAGGGCCAGTAGGTAAAGTGGTGGTTAAGGCATTGGACTTCCAGATGGCTGACCATGGTTTGAGTCCCGGAACTGGTGGCTTGCTTTCTCACTTTCTTTTTCTCTCTCTGTCTCTGTCTCTGTTTCTGATGAGTGCATGTGACCTATAGCAGATTTAATAATAATAATACATAAAATTAAATAATTCTTTAAAAATGTAATACATAGATCATAAAAGTAGCATTTCAAATTGGTAGCAAAAATCAGGATTGTTTTCTTTAGAAGTTATATTGGAGAACCAGCCTGAGATTGTGTGATTAAGGTATCTGAATCCCATATGACCTATTGCGTAGTTCAAGTCCCAGAACCAGCAGCTTGAAAACCACACCAGGTGCATGTGCATGCCCAAAATTCCAAAAGGAGGAAGAAATGGACGAGAAGGGATAGCAACATGACCATGCTCTATGTGGGGAATGCTTTCTCACTTTCTCCCTCTTCTCTCTCTCTCTCCATCTCTCTTTAGTGAGTGCACACACCCTCTGGCCAAAAAAGATATAGGAATAAGTGAAGAGTTATTTTGGGGGAAAAAATATTGGATCTATCCTTTGCAGTGGAAAATGAATAAAATTCAAGATGTGGGACTGGGACCAGCAGATGGCATAATGGCTACATCGCTGGACTCCCATGTACTCTACTGCAGTTCGAGTCCTGGACCCGGTGGCTTAAACTCACGCTGGGCATATGTACGTGTGAGCCCAAGATCCCGAGAGGAGAACAGAGGAGAAGGGATTGTGGTGTGGCCACCCACCCTGGGGGGTGATTTCTCATTTTATGTCCCTCTGTCTTGCTCTGTCTTTTTGGAGAGTGCACACGCCCTATAGCAAAAAAAACTTCTCAAAATTCAAGATGAATATTGATATAAAAAAATCATAAAAGTATTGTAAAAATCCTGGGATCATTTAAAAATTCTAACTGATATAGCCAGTCAGTGGCATGGTGGTCAAGGCAGCTGGATCCCCACATGGTTGACAGGGTGGTTTGACTACCTGACCTGAAGGTTTAAAAACATGTTGGGTGGTGGTCCTGCAGATGGTGTAAAGGTTACATCACTGGACTCCACATGGGTGGCAGAGGTTTGAGTCCCGGACCCAGAGGCTTGAAACTCACACCAGGCATGTGTGTGTGCATGCCCAAGATCCCGAAAGGGGAATGGAGGAGAAATGACTGCAGCATCGCTATCCCCCCAGGGGATGATTTCTTGCTTTCTGCCTCTCTGTCACTTTGATGAGCACATGCGCCCTATAGCAAAAATCTCTCTTGAAAATAAAGAAAGAAAGAAAAAAACACATTGAGTGCATGCCCACATGTATGCATGTTTTTGCGCCCCAAGTCCCAAAAGGGCAAATGGAAGAGAAATGACTGGTGTGGCCATCTCATGTGGAGGGTGCTTTCTCGTCTTCTGTTTCTCTCCTTCTCTCTGTCTCTCTCCAGTGAGTGCACGCTGCCATTTAGTAAAATATTTTTTTAATGACTAAGGCTATAAATAAGTTATTCCCGAGGAGGAAATAAAGATAACTTTTTACCGTGTGGAAAGAAAATCTCACTCATAAAAGGAATATGAATTGGGAACCAGCAGTTAGCGTAATGGCTATGTCGCTGGACTCCCACGTAGTCGACCACAGTTCGCATCCCGGACCCGGTGGCTTAGAACTCACGCCGGGCGTGTGTGCGTGCGTGCCCAAGATCCCGAGAGGAGAATGGAGGAGAAGGGATTGCGGCGTGACCATCCCCTCTGGGGGGTGATTTCTCGCTTTCTGTCTCTATGTCTCTCTCTGTCTGTCTGGCGAGCGCACGCACCCTGTAGCGAAAACCTCTCTCCCCCCTCCAAAAAAAATGAATATGAATTAAAACTAGCTTGAAATGTCATTTTTAAACCTATCAATTGTACAATGATCCAAAAGTCTGTGCAAGAAAATTTGTTACAAAATAGGAACTTCATATGTCAATGTTAATAGGTGTAACCTCTATGAAGGACCATTTCACAATATCAAATTTATAAATGCACATATTCTTCAACCTGATTCTTTGTTCTAGAAATTTAAACTAACCATATAGTAGTATTAAAAATAACACATATTGGAGATATGCTGTAAAATGAAAAATAGTAAGATAGATAGATAGTTACGTATCATCATCAGATCTTGATTCTAGTTGTTCCTCATCTGCTTCGATATCAGAGGTCATTTCTACCTTCCCTTCATCTTCTTTAGGAAGGCATTGTTTCTGCATTCCCTCTATTTAAAAATGACAGAAAGAGAGAGATTAAAGCATTCCAGTGTATACATCTAATGAAGGTTACATACCAAAAATCTTTTTTTAATAAAAAAAGAATTGTATTTACTTAGAAGCATTCAGAATGTCAACAAAACAGCTGCAACGTTTTTTTTTTTGCAATTACAGAGTGGTATTCAGTTAATAAAACAACAATTATTTCATATAAGCTGCATCAGAGATAACTGAAGATAAAAAAACTACCATCCCTATATATAACTAATTTGTGCTGTGCACCAACAAGAACCTGCTTTAAATCTCCATGCCAATTTACAGCCCCCCTACTGTACCAGGCAAGGTTAGTGGCTATTGACAATTCCACCAGGACAGGGCTCTCTAAAGACACATTCAGTAGTGTGTTAACTATACAAAAAAAGACACTGTACAGTTTACAAACAAATCTTACACAGCCTTACATTTCAATTTTTTTCTTTAAAAGGAGTGAGTTGTGTACAGGGGGGTTAAATGCTTTATAGACAAGGAAAAAATAACTGCGCTAGAACCAACTTATTCATCATCATCATCTTCATCTTCATCCTCTTTATCTTCCTCTTCTTCCTCATCTTCTTCATCTTCCTCATCTTCCTCCTCCTCCTTTTTCTTGCTCTTTTCAGCCTTGACAACTCCCTTTTTTGCTGCATCAGGCTTTCCTTTAGCTCGGTATGCAGCAATATTCTTTTCATATTTTTCCTTCAGCTTAGCAGCCTTCTTTTCATAAGGCTGTTTACCATCTGCAGCAGTGTTATTCCACAGCTCTCCCAGTTTCTTTGCAATGTCACCCATGGATAGGCCAGGATGTTCTCCTTTGATTTTTGGGCGATACTCAGAACAGAACAAGAAAAAGGCTGAAGGAGGCCTCTTGGGTGCATTGGGATCTTTGAACTTCTTTTTTGTTTCCCCTTTAGGAGGGATATAGGTTTTCATTTCTCTTTCATAACCGGCCTTGTCCACCTTTGCCATATCTTCAAACTTTCCTTTCTCTTTAGCAGACATGGTCTTCCCCCTCTCTGAGCACGTCTTAGAAAACTCTGAGAAGTTGACTGACGCATCTGGGTGCTTCTTCTTGGGCTCCTCCCGGCAAGTTTGCACAAAGAATGCATATGATGACATTTTGCCTCTCGGCTTCTTAGGCTCTCCTTTGCCCATGTTCAGTTATCTTTCCTCCACGAGGCACAGAGTCGCCCAGTGCCCGTCCGGCTCTCACTTGCCCCGGCGCTGTCACTATGGAGCTCAATGTACTGCAATGGCTGTGAGAGTGCGAGCCAGACACCATACCAAAAATCTTATGGTGAATGTCAACCATAATACATTTTTAAAATCGTTTCCATTAAAACAGAAAAACACCAAACTATTCAGCATTATACTGAAGGTAGTTGGCACAACATAATACAATCTTTTAAAAAATTACAGGAATAAGTATTAGAGAGGAAGAGACAAAAATATCCTTACTTTAGAAATAGTACAGAAAATGATTGTACAGAAAATGTAAGAGGTCTATAAAAACTTGAACCACCCTTGTTCTCCACTGTTTCTATAAACCAAGTATACAGCTCTTGATTAGATGTAATTATTAATGCCTGCAAAGAAAACCCAAACTACATACAACTTTATTTTTTCTGGTGGGGAGGAGTTTTATTCCTGTTGTTTAAAATGTATTTTTCTCATGGGAAAAGAATTAGACAGAATGCAAAATTTCATTTCTTTTGACTTCTGTTTATTTTTATTTGTGACAGAGAGCACATGTGTACACCAGAGACAGAGGGAAA